GCCATTTTCTCCACTGACAAACCATTGATCCTAAATTCTAACGTAATTATTAAGATGTTGTATCTTAGTTTTTCTTTGTACATTTTAATTAATGATTAAATGTGTGTTCGATAACTAATATAATGCGAGCTTTTGTGTTTTTAGTACATTTTGATGGTAAAATATCAGAAAGCCTATGCAGGCATTCAGGTGTAATGAACGGTAACCAACGTCTGGTTAGCAACAAAGGGCGCTACCTGGCGTTATGACGACACGACTGTGGTACTCTATACAGAACAGTACACATTAATATAATATTAATAATTAATCAATTAAAAGTAGTTTATTTTTATCATATTTTGACACTGCTGTAGTAAATAATTTAATTTTCTACTAAACGGGACCGCAAAAAAAAAAAAAAAAAAAATTAATACCTTAATAGTAGATTACTGTACCTTGGGAAAGGACATCGCTAGTAAAAACCGCAAACTAGTAGACCTATGGTACATGCTACTATATTTGACAAGTTGCGAGCATTTCCTAATCTTGTCATTGCAGGGTTAAAACTCAATTATCACTCTATAGATTCAGGGTCGTTCATCACATTATCAATATTACTACTGCGGTATTATCATTATTTGTGACCAGGCTCTTGCAAAAAACAGCCGACTTATACGAGGAGTAAAAAAATTGATTTTTTTTTTTATATTCTGCATAAATTCCTGTTTAATACAGTGTTTATTTGATGGAAATTGGTCGAGTATTAGCGAAGTTACTGTATGAATATTTAATTCCTTGGATATCAGCCATATAGGTTTTGAGAAAACAGCTTCTACAGATTTGAAAATCAATAATCTATTATTAAGATTTGTATTTTAGAAATCATTTTAAATTTAGTATACTTTTCAGTTAGATTTAGTGACTGACATTTTGCAGAAATTTTCCACATATCTTCATTCATAAAATGCAAAAAAAAAAAAAAGAAAATGTTCTAAATTCTGACTCTCGAACGTTTTAGATGCTTGTGGGAAATTAGAAATTGTGAAAAACAATAGGTTTCCCCAGAGCAGTTTACTATTATTAAAAAAAAATTTTTTTTTGCTGTATTGTATGCCCTAACAAAGTATTTTACTGACCACTTGAATAATCAGACCACTTATCTTAATCTATCTTCATATCCTGATCTTTTTAAACATACACTTACTGTAAGACTTACTTGTTTGCCTAAACTGTTACTTCCTTCTGTTTTTTAATTTTTTTTTTGTTTAATTGTTGTAATCTGTATTATTTGTGTTTGTTTGTTTGTGAGATTGTACTAATGTAATGCGTGGGGTCCCTGAATGATGACCAAATTTATGCCTGCCACTGTTTTCCTAATAATTGAGACTTTTGCACTTTATAACCGCAAGGGAAAGGCGCAATATAAATACCCAGTACCAGTACCAGTACCAGAGACCTGCAATACAAACATGTTAAGAAACAAAACAAAAAAATTCAAAAAACTAATTTTGAATTGCTATAACTTTAGAAAATTATTAACTAGTAACTTCCACACTTAAGACATATTTGTTTTAAACAATCAACTCATACCAAATGTAATTATTTTTTACTCAAAAATGCATGCGCATAGCACCATTCCCCAGGTTAATTTAGCAATAATAAAATTAAACAATTATTAACGGCCAAAACACGTCGTTTAGAATCAATGAGGTGAGCACGGAAAACTGATGAATGATGAAATTTGCATGCAATCTATAAGCATAGAATGGAACACAAATAATAATTATACATAATAAAAATAATAAAAACAGTAAAATATTAATAAATTACTACAAACACTAATAATCTGTCATAAATTTATGTTTTATTTTTTGTACTCAAACAGACAGTGCATTTCATGTACTGTTAGTATGTAATTACTAAGGGTATTCCATGGCAAGGGACTTGGAACACAGCCAGATAATTCTGCAGTCAGAAATCCTGTCCCTGGTTATAGTATCAGACGAACATCCTGAAAGTCTTCGCCTAGTCTACCCACAACCCTTTCAATTATTGTCTAGTAACGTCAGCTTCATACTGTTTATAAAGTTAGAAACATTTCAATGTAACACACATTGAGAAAAACTTCTCTTACGAATTTATTGTCCGCTGAAAATGACAAAAAAGAAAATCATAAAAAATAATTTTGTTCATGTTGCAGTAACATACAAATTATTAGCTAGAGCATAGAAATGATTGAAGAACGTTATAGCCTTAGTTTTATAATGGATAATGATGAAAATAATAAAAACACTTCCAGTGACGGGAAGTCTTTCTATCATTTTTCGCTGAAAAATTATAGATAATTTTTATGTTCTTCAAGTGAGCAAGTAGTATATTTCAAAAATGAATTTTTTATGATTTTTTTTTGTATTTTTCCATGGTAAAATACATCTTTAATTTGTTGGCATTCATTTATTATCTAACCAAGTTCATGAAACTTCTATAACTAATATAATTTGAAAAGACGAAAATTTATTTTTACAAACATTGGATCAACCTTTTTAATAAAGAATTATCATTTTTGGGGTTTTTAATTTTTTTTGTGGATTAATTATTTTCTGTAATTTACATCATTGTGCTCTATTGCTACAATTTTCTGAATAGGATTGAAGAATCCGATTTGTCTGCAGTTGCTCTCCTTGTTAAATATCCTTACTATAATGACAATGATGATGAAAGGAGATGGCAGTGCCAACGTTAATGATGAAAATTTTTTGTAGTACTGTAGCACCAAACTTCATCTTTATATTTCTCTTGTTAGACCAATTTTTTATTTTTCATCTACGATTTATAATTCTATTTGCATTTCTCAATCAAATTGCATAGAACGAGTTCAATCCAAATTTATGTATTTTATTAATTATAACAACAACGTTAATGCCCCTATTCATATCTTAGCAATTCACACTAGAAGGGGCACGTTTGATATGGTCTTCCTTTATAAATGTTTTAACTCGCTTTCTACTTGCCCTCTTTTTATGAAAAACTTGCGAGCGGTTAATAATATACAGATTTCTGAATATTTAAAAACATGGGGGTGGTTACGCCTCTTTTTCCGCCAGTCTTTGAGTATCCAGAAATCTGCATCTCATTACCCGCTCTCAAGTTTTTCGCTCAAATATGCTTTTTGTGTCTTAGAAAAATCAGTTGCACATCAAAAAAATGTTTTCCTTCGCAGCCTGGCTTCAAGACGAGATAGCCTCTGTACTCAGTCTGATTGGCGGTATGATGTTGGTCATCATGTTAATGTCACAGACATGATACAGATGTTGATAAAATTAATGATGTGGTTGTAACTCAAAAAGGGCTGCCTCTACCTTGATAAAGAACAGTGAAAACACTGAAAATACAATATATGGGAATTGTATGACTTTATTGCCACTTCTTGCTAAGGAAAGGGGAAAAAATGGCAAAGCGAACCACTGTCACAGAAAATTAATAACTGTTTTTCATGAATTTACAGTATTTCTTGACATTCCCCATGCTAAGAAGTTAACTGTGTTTATAGTCTTTAATTTAAAGGAAAAGTCATAATATGACATCAAATTTTTGCAAAACCCACCAGTTAGCCGTTTTTGGTATTTTGGGTGTCTTTTCTGGAAATTTGGGAGACCAAGAGATTTCATGGAAATTTGGGAGACTCCTGATTGAATCGGAAAGTATGAAATAGGCCTGCTACTACTTAGGCCCTAGATCACATAAGCGTATTAATACTTAGGCCTAGTCTAGGCTAGCTGCTAGGCCTACACATTTTGTTAATTAAATTTACAGAATTTAAATAAATTTCATGTTCTACTATTCTGAAAAAACAAACATGACAACTATAACAACAGTAGGTTAAAGTCTGTACAAGCTAAACTAGAAAAGGCCTAGTGACTGTAGTCTAAGACAACATTAAAATTTATATAACTGCAAGTTGAATAGGCCCTAAGGCTAGGGCAGGCCTAACCACTTGGGCCCCGCTGCTCTCCCTAATTTCCGACCAGACAGAGAGAGGCCTAGCCTAGCCATAAAATACCAGTGCTAAACGATAGAAAGGCACAAATACTTACTGTCGCACTAACGTAAGTAGAAAATAACAGTTTCGGCGAAAATCATAGCCATCCTTCCCGTTCTGATCCATGCTCAACCTTTACAATTTCGGCGAAAAGACAGTTTAGTCTACCCTTCGTTCATCAACCACGGACCATACTGTACTATGTTGTCTCTCTCGCCACACACAACACATCCGACCTCCTCGACACTTTTTAACAAATTTTGAGAACCTTTGTAAAAACTAGCCAATCACAGAACAGAACTAGAGGTTGACCCTTTTTTTGATGGTGAAGCTGGTGTACGTGTGTATATTGTGGTGTGTGTGTGTGTATCGGTCGGTCGAGCGTGTCACAACAACGATTCGCAACACAATTGCATGTTGCGTGTAGGACTCTGTTTAACTTTTTTGTATTAAAATTATCATAATCTACTTTAAATACCAAAATGTCCCACAGAGACAAAGCAGCGAATCAATTGATGCAACATAAGAAACTGTTAGAGGTAAGCCAAACATGACTTCATTCATTCATTTCGTGCAGCCTAGGCCTAGCCTAGGCCTAGGCTAGCCTAGCTTTCTTTTTAGGTAGGCCTCCTACCTAGGCCTAGTCATAGGCTATCCTAATAATAGGCCTAGTAGGAGCCCTAACCAAACTATCCTCCTACTGTAGGCTCTAGATAGTAGAGGCCTAGGCCTTCTACTACGCTACTTTTCTCTAGGCTTACTTACTAAACTACTAGGCCTAGGCTAGGCCTACACCAGTCACTGAGCACTATGTCTAGGCTAGGTAGGGAGGGCCAGGCCTGTCAGTGTCTATTTAGGCCTACTGTCTAGGCTACCTAGCCAAATCAAATATACATATTCATAGCATTATCATCAAACTCTATGTTAAGTTCAAAGACTTTTTGCTTTCTTTGTTTAGGGTTCTATCCTGAGTTTTTTATACTGATTGTTCAAGTGTCGTACTTTTGAATCCAAAAAGGTTATTTTGGCATATGGCACCATGCAGTCAAAAACGGTTATCTGCACATCTGACTGTGCAACTAACTAGGTTCTGAAACTGTAATTTGCATGGCCGTTCATGTGAACAACTCCAAACATTTATGATACTTGCACATCCCCTGTGTTTTTTCTAATCTTTTCTATAATGTTATGTCATTAAAAAAAAAAAAATGTTTTTTTACTCTGGTCTGATAGGCCTACTTTACTTCCGTGCATACCGCATTCAAGCCCTTTCAACAAATGACTTGATTGATGAACACATCTCAAAAAAATAAATGGTTGACCACATTGTCTTTCTAAAAAAGGACTAGCAAAACAGTTTAAAATTATTAGTACTTGCTAGAAACAATCAGTTTTGTTAAATTATTTTTTTAAAAGTGAGACTGCTTTTGAGTGGGGCCGCCTATCAGGAACCAGAGCCGTACTGTAGGGAAATCATAGAGAGATGAGTGACCACACCAGTTAGCTGGGGGAGGGGCCTCCGGTGTCCAGAGGCAGAGCCTTGGTGGGGTCCAGGGGGTGAGGGCCGCTGGCACTCCAATGATCTGAGCATTTTTAAGCTGTTTTAAATCAATATCAGGAAATGTTTGTTGACAATTACTGGGTGTGGTATATACCAGTAAACAATCTTTTTTTAAATAAAACCACGTACAATTTGATTTTCAATGTACCGTAATAATATACATTATGTTTAATTTGAGCACCCAAACTTTGTACGCAAACATTTCATTACTTAAACAAACAAAAATAATAGGTATACTGATCACTTTTTAGTAACGCATCAGTATTCACATAAATAATGTCTAATGACTTACCTGTAAGTTACTGCATGACCGTTTTTATATTTTTACTAAAACCACTTTCTTACAATTTTAAATACATTTTCCCCTGTATTTGTGATAATTCATTATCATGCATAGGCCTGTGCTACAGTAATTTATTATTAATATCCATGCATGTGTTTCAACCAAAATCACTTTGAAATACAGAACCGTTCATGATGAGATTTTGAAGCATACATGACCTAACAGCTTATAAATTATATGGTCTCTTGAAAAGCTTGCATTTCAGCAGTTTATTACTGAAATACAAGAACAAAAGTGGAATTGAACCAATGACCCTATGATCTCCATGGTTCACTGCAAACACTGTGGCTACTATAGTACCTATTTAGCCTCAGTGAGCTGTGCTCTCAGGCCCATAGGAAGCAGTTAATTGTTGGTCCCACCAAAGAGAAGAATATGTAGGCTATATTATTTTGTGTGAAAAATACAATGTAGGCTTACTGTATTTGTTGCGAAATAAAATGGTAGGAAAATACATTTGATGTTTGAAGATTTTTTTCTAATTTGTCCAGAAGCCTGCTTTGAGACTATTCCCCTCCTATTTAACTCCAACCCTCTCTATCCCTAAGAGAGATATTATACCAGTGTAGCCTGAAATTTCCCACTTACCTTGCTCCACTATGGTTGGGGCTGAGACAAGCAAGTTTTAAATAGGCACTTTTAATAGATGCCTGGAAATGGCACACTGAGACTGTAGATAATAGTGTTCTCTATTTGTTTCCAATGGAGGTCGAGGGCTTTGTTACCCAGATCGCCATTGTGTTTTCCCACTTACGAAAAAAAACTTTCTGCATCTTATTCTTACCGGTTTAAGACCATTCCTTATATTATATTTGACACTAGTTCTATCCCTTATGTTGTAGGCCTACTCCTACTGTACACCTGTGGAATCCTTAGGCATTCGGATTTACACACTAGAACCAGAACCATTGCATTAACAGTAAAGGAGAACCTGTTATAGATTGGGCTCGGCCCAGCACCCAGGTTTGGCAATGCTATATTGACCAAATTAAAATTATGCTTAAATGGGAACATTTTTGTGTGAATACAGTGTATTATAATTTTGATAAAAAAAAAACTATGTTGCATCGTGAAGGACCCTTTTGGCATGATACAGTACTCATTGGTGTGAAATATTGGTTCGACGAAAACCAGACCGGCCAGACTGCCTGTCCTACAACCTTGGCTATGCTGCTACACTAACTTGATGAATAAGTATAGCTCTGGAAAATGTACTGTGTTATATCCATCATATATAATAAATTGTAATCAGTGATTATATTAAAAACAAAACTGAGAGTTATTATAATTTGATAATAATAAATAATGTTCTGTTTATGTTAGCGCATAATATAAACTGCCTCTGTGCACATTACAAGTTGCATTATTACACTATACCTAAAGGACACTAGCGAAATCTACAACAAAAGTCTTGGAATTCCAACCTCATGTTATGAAGGAAGGTGTTCTTGAAGGAAAAGGTGGTTCTCAATGTTTCTTCAAAGCACTAGATTGATACACAAGCCAGCATTGATGTCAGGGACAGATGTAGGAGGAGGCACAGGGGCAGTGCTCCTCCCTCCCTAATAAAGGAGAAAAAAGAGAGATGTAAAGAAAAGAAAGGAGAAAGAGGGGAGCATTGTACTCCGAACACCATGCCAAACCCACTCTCTACCACCCCATTCGATGCTTTGCACTTGCATTGCCCCTCCTAGATTTTTTTTCTGGATCTGCCCCCTTAATGTGATGTAGAAAAGTTGGTGCCTGTCTCACAAATTGATGTAATGTTCCAGGTCCTCAGAATGATTAATTATTGATCCTGATCATGTTTTTGATTGATCATGATCATGATTGCTCTTTGATCTCATCCTGTTGAACAGTGCAGTAACTAAATTCAGTAGGGTTGATGTACGATAATATACATTAAATAAATGTTGGGATCCAAACCAGGGCCCTGTAATTTAACCTAGGATACCACTGTATCCAGGAACTTAAAATTGAACTAAGGGCCCTGAAAATAGAATCTTGGGCCATTGGGTCATGTAAACTACAGTAGGAATAATTGAAGTAGAACCTATAGAATGCAATCTAATACTCTAAATTCCAGGACCCTGGAAAAATTGAAATTCAAATCTATGATCTTGTCGTACCTTGAAATACTGTAGATCTTGAACCTGGGGAGGACCCTGGACTTGCATCCATAACAATGGAAATGGAATCCAAGACTGTAAGATTGAACGAAATACCAGAGATAAACCCTGTTATCCTACTGTTGGACCCTGCCATTAGAACTAAGACATCCATGGCCCTGGTACTAAAATTGAGACCCTATGAGTAAACATGTGATTCAGGGATTGAAACACCAATCAACAGCCATAATTTGTTAATGTATTCCCTTTATTCAACTGAGTTGTAATGATACCGGTCCCAAAAGGAAGACACAACTTGGCATAGTGATATTTTAGTAGACTGCCCTCTATGTTTCTTGATTTCATATCACATGATGAAATGCATTGAGTGGCAATCACGACCGCTGGCTGTTATTTACAGTCCACCTAATACCCATGGCCACCATTCACTTCTAACCATTATCCGGTGATAGCTTCACAGGGTATTCTATCCAGCAGAAACCCTTTTGATGATTAAATTTTGTTTGGAAGTACTGCACTACAGTGTACAGAGTGATGGAAGGGATAAAGAATTTAAATAAATTTAGGGCAAAACTAGCATTATACTTGATTAAAGCCAATTTCAGAAGTTTTAAAATCTACAATAGTTTATTTGCTATCTCATGAAGTTAAATGCAAAAAAAAAAATCATTTGTGCCTACAGTATACAATTTTAACATATAACCAAATAATAATTGTTTATTGAATGGAATCGCTTTTAATAATAACATTGAGGGCTGCAATAATCAATGTAGAAAGAATATAGAATATACTGATGGTAAAACGTACAGCTCTTTTTGTTTTAGACTTCTAGTCAAAGAACATTCTTTTTACACATCGGCCATCTTGGTTGCTTTACTGGCTAACAAGTAACAAAGGTATTGCAAGTGGCACCAGATAATTATTTGACCCAGAAAATATATGGAAGTCAATGTTGACACTATTATCCCTATTCATTGATGAGTAAACAGTACTGACTTATAGTCCACTATTAAAAAAAATGTAGCATCCCGGGTTTATTCTTTATTTATTAATAATAAATCACAATAGCAATCTCAGTATGCTCTGACCTGTAAAGTAATTCAACATAATAAACTGTAGATTCAAGAAGTTCATGATTTATAGCAGTTCTAAAGTAGGTCTCGAATTACGGTGAACTGTATTCTGTAGTGTATTTTGTGAGACTTA